GTGGATGGAATGGGTGGCCTGTCAGCCGGAAGTACGGGCAAATGCTTTCTAGAAGTCTCTACATCTTCTGGGTAAGGCAGGGACAGTTCCTGCCCTTTGGCGATCTGGAACAAATCAGCGACCTGGGCAGGTCAAGTTTCACAATCAGAACAAAAGGCACCGCATGTCCCAGCCCAGGTACTTTCAGCCCCCAGAAGCCCGTCAGCACAACAAGGGCCAAAAGCCGAACGAAAGAGATAGCAAAATGGAAGAAAGGGCGCGACTGTGACCTTGTTTGGAACATTGGCGGGCGCAGGCTCCTTGGATGTTGTGGCACATGCCTGGCAACTCTGACATCCCGTGATTAAGCAATCCTTCGACACCCAGTCGGTTGCAACTCTCGTATGAACAGCAACAAGCAACATCTGCTGTGGCAGTGGCTGCTGGGGTTGAAGCTTCGAAGCAATAGCGATTTAGCGTTTACGACCCAGCTTGGGTCTTAGGGTCAGGGTTGGTAAAGATTAGGAAGCTGCCACGGGCTTTGTGTTCAGAACTTGGCCTTCAAGAGCTGAGATGCGACACACAAACACCAAGGCACAAGGCACTGAGGAGGCTGCGTGGTGTACGGTCTCCTTCTGCCTGTCCCAGTGTCAGTAAGCTGCAATTTGCGAGTGACTATGATTCAAACGTTTTAGAGTAACCCCTGTCTCCGCCTGGCTCCGATCATGGAAAGAATTTGGCTGCCAGCGGTGTTTGTGGCATGCTTCTGCGACGCTGGGGCCTGGTTGTGACAAGAAGCAGGCTTGCCTGCTCTAGCAAAATCTACTGGCTGTTCATGCCATAGATTTTGCTATGCCATATTGCCATCCAACTTCCTTCCCTTGTACCATGACTTATGACTCCCTTCAACACACGGAAGCGGAGCAGCCCCTATCTGCAAAAAAAGAAAGTCCCTTTGGCGTCCCAAAGGTGCCCGGCTCTATCGCCCCAGTATGCGGATCCTTTGGCTGCCTGGGCAGGGCTCAAGAGCTCAGGAGCCAGAGGTGGGACTAGTGAGCTGCGTTTACGGTTTTTCGGTACTGGAGACCTGCGAATCACCGCAAAGAACTTCACTGGATTACTCCTGCAAATTTGCTGGCACAATGTCGCTTCTTGCCCCAAACTGAGGGCTGGACATGTGCTGGGGGCCTCAGAAAGCACATGAATTCAATGCAAAATGGCGAGGTGATGGCCGTGCTGGGCGATCTGGTACCCAACACCGGACAATAACATCAGCAGCTAGTACTGTATTCAACATCCTAGCGCCACCTGAGAAATCCCTACCACGTGCGGTTTTGTAAGAAGGGGTGCGCAGCTAGCTGGTAATTGCACCGCGCTAAGCCACTATCCGCATGCTGTCAGCTACATCTGTGAAGCTGAGTCCAGGACGCATTGCGCAATCCTGTGTGATTGCCCACGTGATTTCCGTGGTGGCCGCCGTGGTTGCCATGGTTGTTGTGGCTGCCGTGGGGCGCATGGTTGCCACCTGTCAGGACACCTGGCCGCTGCTCTTGGCTTGGGATGCGCAGGTTCTTCTGACGCGCAGCGAAGGCTAGATTGACTCTGCTCTTGAGTGGAAAGGCTGGATCATCCGTGAGAAGCTCTTCCTGCATTCTCTCACACGGTAAGGTGCTACTCTGGCCTGGTGTCATTGGCTGTGCAGTGGGCCTGACACATGCAAGTCGCTGCAGATGTCTTATCGATAGTCTAGTGAAAACCTTTCGGAGAAAATGTTCCGTATCACTGGCCCATCACTGGCTTCACTAATGCTTCGCACTTGCTTCGCATTCCTGCATACAGCAAAGTCAGGGCTCCAGGCCTTTCAGCAATGGGCGCCAGGGGCGCTGCCAACTTTGGAGCAGGCCTTGGGCGTGAAGTTCTCATCTCAAATGCTGCTGTGGAAGACAGAGCTGAAAGCGACTGCTCTTTTCTTAGTCGTGGCTGTGGGAAGTAGCAGGAGTTCATCTTCTAGGTCTCAGCTCTCATCAATGTTATGACTGTTGCTTCTGCGATCCACAGAAAAAACTTGGAAGCGGGGTTTTCTCAAGAATGGGTAGGGACCCTTTTGAAATTGTAAAGGGGTCATGAGGTCCTCACGGTCCTCACTCGGGATTACATTCCGAATGCCCTTCAGTGATTCAGACACTGACTTCTAAATGTTTTCGACCTGTGACAATGACGCCACAAGCGCTAGGAGACCCGCGCTGTGTGTGACCGCCGTCAAGAGCGAGCACCCGCGTTACGCCAACTGTGCCAACTACTGAGCTCAAGTTGAGGAGGCATCAAGACTTACATGCCCTGAACCGTCTGAAAGACCGCAACCGTTTGAGGGTCCTGACGCAGGCGCTACGACGACGGGTGCGGGTGCCGGCGGCGCAGGGGCGCTAACGACTGGCACCTTTTGGAGGTTTCTCTAAGAGGGGGTAGTTTGGGGGTGTCAGGGGATTGCAGGTGGTGTTCGTTGATTTTCCGGGCTTCCTTTGAGAGTTTCGCAATTGTTGTCACTGCACATGGACCGGAATGATCACTGCATCACCAAGACTAAGACTGACTAAGAATAAGCACAGGCCCTTCCGCTGCATCCTCGTGCAACACATTCCCTGCCCTCGCCTCGCTTCGACGCTCTTCAATCTCCTCGTCATCTTGCTTCACCTGGCCCGAACACACCTCTCATGGTTACTATGGTAATCAGATTCAGGCTCGCAGTACTTCTTCAGTTGAAGTCACCAGAATCCCCTGAGCATTTGACTCGGGCTTACAGGATGATAAGATGAAGCATCTTGCGAAGCCGACTCTGCTACTTGAACACAAGATTCAGACGTCCCTGAAACTTGCTGTGACAACTCATTCCGCTGCTATGAACGCTGTATGATCTGCTTACCACTCAGCTTCTGATTCTTAAGAGTAACCGCTTGTGGAACAAATAAGTAAAACATGTTTTGTTGTGAAAAAAGACATATAAACTCATATGCACATACATAAGCATACATATGCTTATGACATCCTTACCCTTCATGAGCGACGCCTCGGCTGGTGTGTCGTGGGCAAACCACTTGCTGAATCCTTTCGTCAGGCACGCGGCTCTTGCGGGTTCATGGGCGCTTCTCACAGTTCGAGGTCTCGCTGCAAGGAAATGGTTTGACGATTGCAAATTATGAGTGGACGCCCAGTTTGAGAAATGCCAGCGCTGGTTACATCGAACACAGCAGCTCACCCTCACTCTCTACATTGCAGCAAATGTGAAAATGACCCCGTGAATAGTCTCTCGAAGCCCTCTTCGATCGCGAAATGTGCCCACACGGACCACTTATCTTTCTCTACTGGGCACCAGGGAGCTGCATACATAGGAAGCGCACGCGCCTCGAGACTTCAGCTTGTCTTCCTGCAATCTTGAGACTGTGCAGCCCTGAAATTGCACTGGTGGCAGTTGAAAACAGTATTACATCTCATGGTCATGTAGGAATAAACGAGCAGATGCGAGTCAGAGTAACAGCACAGTCATCATGACTTTAATGCTAATCGTGGATCTCGCCTTCCGCAGCTCAGAAACCTGAACTTCGGGTTCCGGTGCCTGAGAATACTGCAAAGCCCACAACAAGCAATCCTAACCTCTGCCAGATGAGTATGACGCCAGCTTGCTCTGTAGGTAGCCGACGGTCAGTTGTACAGGTGGCGGCGGTTCAAGCATTCCGATACCGTTGCGTTCGCCTCAGCTTCCGAACACCACTGCGTGCTTTGGCTGCTGTGCAGTTGATAACGATACGTTCTGAGAGTGGCTACTTCAGAAGAAGCCTCCAAACGACACTGCGGAAAGCCGAGATCTTAGGGGCAGTGCCCGCGCTCGGCGCAGGCGGAGCGTTGTACTGCAGCAGGGTGCGACAAGCACGTCTTGTCATGCGCAGGATTGGTCATCCAAAGCCAGGCATGCAATGCTGAACAGCGATGGACTCGCAGAGAATCGCTAGTCGGTCACTTGGCGGTCCAAACAATGCCTTCCGGATGTCCCCCAGCGTGCAGTCCAGCAGACCTTAAGCACATGCACTCCAAACATATCAAGGCCAGTCTGCAAGTCTTGGGGATTGCATGCTTCCCGAGAGGCTGCCGCTGTCGTTCACAACAGACGTGTCGGGCATGTCCCATTGTGGCTCTGGCTCGTCCTGGCTTTCATGAGGTGCTGACAGGACTTGGACCTCAAAAGCAACCTTCAGGCCAGGAGAAATCAAGATCAGCAGCACGCTGTGCGGAAACTGCATGTACACGATAAATATACGCTGGCAAAACATGAGTATATATACAACAATTATTATACAATTCAATGCAACATTTGATTTTTGTGAACTCTCGAGTTACTCAAGTTTGAAGCTGCACGCCAGCTGGCCGTATGTGCATGAAACGAGTTGGCAAGACGTACTGCGGACCTCCCCAGGTTTCTGCCTTGATAACACGCGCCGCCACGTTTCGCTTGCGGACAGCAGTGCTACAATAGGTCACATGGCAAGAGCCCCAGATGTGCACCCCATCACAAAACCCAATCCATCGCCTGGGGGGCATAGCCCCAAGCGCTGGCCCACCTGGCCAGCAATGCCAGAACAGTTGTCATCTTTGCGTGCTGGATCTTTGATGGAGTCTCCCGAGTGATTTTCTCTTATCAAAATGAAGTCCAAACGCTTACCAGAACTCATGCGCTCTGATGAGAACCCGCACTGGCGACTAAGGTCTAGAGGCCGGAATCAAATGCAAGGCAGGAGGTCATTCGCAAGTGAAAGCTGTGACTTTACCCTTAACCTCTACACAGATTATAGTCTGGTGATTGAAGGTTTGGAGTTCGGGACGGAGATTAAGGGTTTCAGGGCCTCCTGATGAACTGCAATCCAAGCCATATCCAGAATTCACATGCTTTGCCTCTACGGGAAAACTACGCATATAGGCCATCTTCTTCCTCCTGAGCATCAGTCTTGTCATCTCGCAAGTTGACTCCCGGCCTTGAGTCGCGATCATGGCGGTCATGCCAGTCATTCCGCTCCCTCTCGTGGCGGTCGCGGCGATCGTGGCGCTCATGGCGCCGCTGTAGCCAGGGGTCTTTCTCCTAGCATCTGGAAAGTCCAGTAGTAGCTGTCGTAAACTTTCAGGGAATGGTCGGACCTTCAACGACCCTGAGCGGGCCAGACCTTAAAATGCTCAGAACTGCTGCAGTTTAAATGCAACCACGTGCAAGCACCATCAATCATGCATTCAAGAAAGGTCCTCTTGCTCGAAGTCATTATGCTCGACATTCCTCCTTCCTTTCGGCACATGGAAGCATAACGTGTGCACCAGCTGTTCTCAGAAGTCTCGCCGTGCAGGCGACCCACTGACTCTGACCAGGCCCACCTCGCTCACCTCGCTCACCGCGCTCGCCACGGTCAGCGCGGTCTCCACGATCTCCGCGCTCGCCGCGATCACCGCGGTCGCCGCGGTCACCACGATCTCCGCGGTCCCCGCGATCTCCGCGGTCTCCGCGTTCACGGCGACGGGCATGACGGTCTTCGTCTCCATTCTCCTTCTGCGCGCATACTATGGGCTGAATTCGCAAAAGTTACCATAGGGGGCTTGAAGCTTTTGCTTCTAGATTTTCTGTCCCTGATGCGCTGTTGTTAGCTGCATGAGAGGAGAAGCCAGTCTACCACATGTTCAATTGTAACCATGTTCTGTGCGACCGGGCAATGATCACCCTAAATCCTAGACCCCACATGCGCCCAAACCTTGTGGCTTAAAACATGCCCAAACAGAAGTGTGTCCTTGTCGCCCTTGGTGCGCTGCGGATGCAACCCGCTGTCCTGTCACTTAAGATGTTGCAAGAGGGCTAAGGTTTGGGTCTCAACCCCGCTTCTTTGAAAAGAACCAACATCTCTTAGAAGGGCCCGGCCCGCCTGATCAATCGAGACATCAAGACCAATTGGCTTGACCTGGGCAGGGTCTCTGCACTGCGCACTGAGCCACAAGTCCGCCATGAAGATTTTCTCAAAACAGTACTGAATCTCTGACGGGAGCAATTTAAGTCAGAGGTTTCTCTAGCAGCGCAGCTGCATCGCTTGCAGGGCAACTCGTTCGCAGTTATCAACATGCTATGATCATGCGCAATCACGAACACAAAATCCTAGATCTAAGCCTGGATGATGACTTGATGACATAGCACCTAAGGATGTCCGAGCAAACCGCATGTGAGTTGGGAAGGTCCTTGAATGTCAGCAGCTCATCTTTTGAGTACTGCGCCCACCTGCAAAAGCTAGATCGCGTACAAACTATCACCACCATCTGCTGCGGCACTCCCTTGGGACAAAATGGAAATTGCATCTGAAGTAGCAACTAGTATTTCAGCAACATATTACTTGGAATCATCTTAAGTGCTCATAATCAAATGTAATACTTTTCATGATCAGACAGCGAAGGTCAGGTCAAAAACCGCCGGCCCTGCCTGGCCATGCGGTCGGCAGCATCCTGGCGAAGCAAGCTCCACATCTTCAGTGCTTAGCCGTACTCATCACATTGGACATGCTGTTGAAACTTGGATGTTGGGGCTTCAGTAGTAAAATGGGGGGCACGTCTTGAGGGTATGAATCGGCGCAGCATGCTGGCACTGGGGATTGATCAAGAAGGTCCTCCGCATCCTTCTCTGTCTGTTCCGCTCCCAGATCAAGTGCCTACAGCCAGCCAAGTCTTTGCAGGGGCATCATGATCACTACGCTTGCGATTTCCGGCCCTGCCTCACCATTGTTTTCGGCCACTTCAACCTGCTCCACGGCGCGGGTTGCATGCAAACAGAGGCCGGGAGTGTCAAAGGAACCTACGGACCTACGGAGAACGAGCGAGACAGGGAAGTAGACTTCTGAGAGCTGCAACAGAATTATTGGGCCGAAGATCCACATGGACAACGATGAGCACAGACGTGATGAGAAGACGGGAGAAAGGCCTGGGCGGGATCCTGTCCAATTGTATCTTGACCATCTTGTTCAAAATTTGCCTGCAGGGATTTTATGGCGAGAACACACCTCAAACACCTGAAATGTCCGAGCTTTGCTGCCTCCACTCGGTTTTCAACCTGGCTCATGTTGACCACGTTGTCCACGCTGTCGCCGTCCATGCTGGCTCTACTGCTTATTGCCAAGGAAACAAACAACACCGAATGGCGCCGTCGAGGTCACTGCATACCGGTTAGTTCTGCAAAATCTGGCAGCGCAGCATGTAGGACGCTGAACACAGAGCGGCGCTACAACTCGTTGAAGCTCACAAGTGTGTTCTGGTGTGCCACGGCTCGAACTGGCTGCGGCAGTAATCGGGCATGAGCACAACCTGCTTGACACTGTCTGAACAGTTGCTGAGGTTTTGAAATAATGGCAAGATTATGGCAACACATGCGTACCTTCCGGCTCTCATATGTGTACTTTAGCACATGAAAGGGCTTCACATAAAGAACGTTGCGTGAGATGCTGCCTGTCCTTCGTCATTCCAAAGATTATTGGTGTAGAGCTGGGAGTCAACGACTTCAACGTATGATTGAATCCGCCTTTTCATGAAAGCTACGGGGCGCGCATCTTCGCTGCGAGTAACGAGGCCTTGGACAAGCACCTTTGGTGTTTTTGCATGTAGCTACAGGTGGCCATGGCGGACAATGCAAAATTCTACGTTCGGCCGTGGCCTTCATCGACTAGGCCAACATTTACGGCCACACCTTCGTGCTCTCGCTCTGAGTAGCAGCCAAAAAAATTGGTGATGCAGCGACCTTTGCACTTGGCTCCTTGGATACTGCTTTGTGCACGTCCAAAAAGCCCACAGGCGGTGCTGCTGGCACGGGACCCTTTGGGGGCACACTCCTGCCTCCGGCCTTACAGATAGCGCTGAACCCTTCAAGAGGGGGTGGTGGCGGTGCAGTCTGCGGCTTGGCAACGGAAGCCTTTGAAGCGCTCACCTTGGTAGCTGTTGTATCTGCTGTCTCAGGACCCTGGTCAGGAACCTTCACGCCTGCCAGCCGCCTCAGCTCCTCCATTTCTCCCCCAGGCATGCCTCATCGATGGCCAGGGACTCTCCAGACATCAAGTTGCGGATCAGGTTCGCCTTGACTCGCGAAACTCAGAATCGGAGCTGCCGTCCAGCACGGAAGGCTCTGGATTAGCCCGGTCAAAGTCCAACTCGCCATAGAACTGGCCAAGCATGCCAAAGACCTGCTCGAAAAACTGCACCTGTTCCAGAAGCTAGCGGCAAGCCCCAACGTTGTCCTTGGTGACGATTCTCAGCCGCCCGCCCGATTCCCGGAGACCAGAAAAAAAGCCCTCAGATGGCGAACGCGCTCGGGTCCTGATGAGGGAGAAGGAGCAGCTTATTACGATTTGTGCAGCATGTCTGATACTCTGCTTCTCTGTTATCCTCAAGCAGCACATTTACGACAATCAGCGTGATCGGGACATGAAGGAAATTCACATTTTCACGATGCAAGGAGCCTGTCAAAACATCACACCATTCTGAAGGGGTAAAGCATCAACAAAACTTGACAAGCATTCACAAAGTGACTGACCCGACATCAGAAAATGATTGAAATAAATATGTTGAGCGGAAATTGTGGTCGCACTGCTGGAGCCATCATATCTGCGAAGCGCAGAACCGCTGTCACTTTTGGAGCCTGTTGGCGGCGAAGTGCAAAGCTCTCATCGCTTTTGAACGCCTCGTGGTTGCGAAGTGGGGGGGGTGGGCGGGGGCGCAGCCCCCATTTGCAACCATCAAATTGACAAATAATGGGGCAGTTGCATTCACTATTGTGCGTGTTCATGTTTGAAAAGAGCGCGGCGGTTGGAGGGGTCGGGCCCCGTCCATTTGCAAACCATTGAGGAATTTGGCAGTTGATTGATGAGGATTCATGAATTATTTGACATGATTTGGGCGCAGATGTCAAATGACCGGGGGGATTGAGCGGGGCGCAGCCCCCTCCCCCGCCCTCGGCATTTGCAAGCCAGCGTGGAATGTGGCAGTTGTTTATGAGGATTCACTCGTAGACATTGCAGATAGTAATGCTAACGCTACCAGGTTTTGAGCGCCTAAACTGCCTGGCAGGATCATGCGGCACGATGAGCGTTAAATCTCAAAGAGATGTCGGACGAACAAGGCTTGCAGACCTCACATCATGAGTTGGCAGGATTGGGCTAATGAAGCAAGAAGCTGCAAGCGTCTTACGAAAGCCTACTGGCTGGTAACCTTGCAGCGACGCAGTTCTACTGGGCCCTGCCTTTGCCACCCAGGACGGAAGTACCAGGCACCAATATTCTGGGCTCACCATGGCTATGACTACCCAGAAATTCGTCGCTTCATCGCTGCACTGCTGTTCCATGGGATCGCAATGGTATTGGAAATGTATACTTGGACGACACACGGGTTTTCGTATGGGGAATCTCTATGGGTGGCTCCTTCGCCTGGGAACAAACTACTCCAGCTCGGAAAAGCCGGCCTGATCCATGGAGTCAGCATACTCGCGTGGGGCCACCCTCGGAGATGGCACTGACCAAGGATCGATGAGCACCTGCGCAGAGGGGGAATTCACGGCTTAGTATTGGCCTTACTGATGTAGGGACAAGCTGAAGAATGCTTTAAAGAACTTCGCCAGTTGCAGCAGGTCATACATAGTGCTCGGCAAGGCAACACGGCACTGCCGATGCTCAAAAGAAGCAAGAAGCTGGCTGTGCCTGAATTTCGCCATGTTGCCGTTCATGCATGATCTGCACAGGCAACGCGCAGGCCCAAGAGCCGTGTCCTGCTTTGGATGCGGGGCCAGCGACTTCAGGCTTTGTGGCAGCTAGGGCTAGGTCCGGGATTCAATCCACTGGAGAATTTCGCAAGTAGGCTAGCGAAGGGGGTTCTGTGATTCATTGCGGGGATTTCGCGGGGTTGCACCCTCCGCCAAATTGGCATGGAACCCCCAAAGCAGATCCTTTCCAAGGAGGGTTCCATGAGTTTTACATTAATTTGGGAAACAGACAAGGTTAAGGGTTTAGGGTTTAAGGGCCTGGGGTTGCAAAACTCTCTGGCAGGCGCCTTGGATCGAGTTGACGAATCCCTGGTGGCGACCTCGTGCACCTTGCACTGACACATTCATGATTTAATGAAACAGGCATCAAAAACACGCTCATAAAACCATGCAACCCTTTCTACATATACCCTATTATACTACAGTAGTATCCATTTTCAATTATCCCTATATAGCTCCAATAACAGGGCCCTAAAAAGGAATCCACAACTTTGAGGCACTGAAGGGTTTAGGAGTTTATGGGTTCAGGGGTTTAGGGTTTTAGAGATCTTGTTAGAATCTACCCAGAGCCATATTCTATCTACTTATGGAGGACTATAGGGGTTCCGGGGTTCAGGGTAGGATCCGGCCTCTTCTTGAAACGTGGGAGGCGAGGTCCAAAGCAGCACCGGCGAGCGTGCTAGCGTGTAGCCATGCGCGTCCCAAGCACAGTAATTCCCTGGTGCTTAGGAATGGGCGAATGGATTATAGGGCATGCCTCATGTCAGGACAAGTCAAAATCTCAAACGTGGAGAAGTCAAACGTGGTTGAGTCCAAGTCCACAGGCAAAGACATCAACGAGCTTGCGCTTCACTGGGCTACGTATCATACGCACCCCCAAAAAAAGTGCTGGGACGAGTGCTGGGTTCTTCTGGAAATCAGACTCATTTCGCACTCCTTTTCAAGCGCTTTTCAAACTCTCCACGTCTCATCAGGCTGCAAAGCAAAGTGCGCTCTGCACGTCTGACATCTGTTGCGTTGGAATACCGGGCTGCCATGGCCACTCAGTGGAGAAGCGCTTCAAAGCCTCCACCAAAGCCTCGGTGTCTGTCTTTGATTTCAAGTTGTTGACGATGCTAGCCGCTTGCGACTCGGCTTCATCAAGCAAATGAGCGTCAACGATATCTGAAAATGTCACTCCAACCGCATACACGTCCAACTCCGCACGGGTCCAGCCACTACAGAAGAATGGAGCATAGGTGCCAATGCTCCCAGGCATGTGCTTGGACTCTCGGCGGAGATCTTCAGCTGCGTCGAAATCAATAAGTTTCATTTCCCAGTTTCTGCACACCGAATCAATGTGCAGGATGTTATAGGGCTTCAAGTCACGATGGGCCACGAAGCGGGGGTGCAAAAAGGCGACGGCGCGCGCCACACTGGTGAAGGCTTGCATGAAGCCTTGGGACCAGGGAGGTAATTTCACTGCTGGAAGTGAGCCAGGGTTCCTGTCCCTTTGCTACTGGACCCCTGGTTATTGGGGTTATATAGGATAATGGAAAAGAGAATGGAAACTACTGTAGTATAGTAGGGTATATCTGGGGGTATGTATTCTATAGGGATTGTATGTCAAGCATGATTTTCAGAACCGCTGAGCTCTTCCGCTGCATAACTAGCAGGATGCTACCCCGGCCCTAGGATTCAGGCTAGGCCCCAGGCAAGCATTCCTGCTGGGCGGTCTTTCGTCGACTTGTCGCTGAACACCTCCAGCGCAAGGAATTCACAGGACTCTGTGGCTAAGAGTTGAGATCGGAATATCATATGTGAGGGACGGTCAGCATCACTGGATGCTTGGAACACAGATGTGGTGGTCTCCCAAAACGGGGGAACCCCAACATGGATCCCAAAATACTATATAATCCTGATTATTGTTGGACCCCCAAAAAGGGACCCATAATTTTGGGAAGCCCCCACATCTTTGGGAGTCCCCATAAGGATTATAATATACAGAGGTATATAAAGACCACCCCAATATAGACCCCAAATACGTTATTCTCCTTCCTGTGGGACCCCCAAATTTTCGGAAGGCCTTATAACAAGGATTAGAGTATATTGGGCCTTGAACCCTAAACCCGTAGCCCTAACATAATTTTGGGAAATCCCCATGTTGTCATTGCGGTAGGATGTTTCTCAAAAGTGCAAGGCAGAGCCCTGACCACGCAATGTGTTCCGAGTGGCGTGGTCGCCACGCACAACGGATACCACCCGACCCTGCACGGACCCTCCATGCGCGGGCCCGGTGGGCCGCAAGATAAGATAAGATCACGAACCCCGGCCTGGAGATCCGGCCTCGGAAGGAAGTAGTTGCCTGAACACTTAGCTGTTGGAGCCTCCTCGGAACTGTTCTGGAAGTCTGCTGGCATTGCTGAGGAGCCGTCTTACCTGCTGGAACTCCGAGGAGAAGTGCGGTGGGTCCATGCACTTCACGATCGGGCCAGCATCCTGCAACTTTCCAATGTTGTGCGAAGCGGCAATCTTTTTCTGAAGTCCTTGTCGAAGACTGCAAGAAGCAGCCCTTGAATTTGCATGCTTTCCACCGCTGCGCTACCTCCAACCCGGTGGGGCCTGAGCCAAATTGCGCAGCATGCATGCAACATGCATGCTGCTGTACGAGGACCCAGGACGTCTGCAGGCAAGACTGGCCACATTCCCTCTGACGCATAGCAGCTTACCATTCCTTTCACGCTGACGGGTCGGAGGAAACCATCCGGCAAATGCATAGCCCAGCTCTGGCAAAGATGTGACCATGGGGCTTAGTGCCACCACTTCCAAGTGAAACGCTCGCCATGCAGCCTTGGCCACTATGGTACAGGCGACGCTGCCCCCCCCCCTCCTGAGATGAACTCTAGCCACAACTCGGCGCAGCACAGCAGTGCCCTCTTGCAAGAAAAGAACGTCTGGTGACTTTTTTTGCAAAGCTAGAAAAAACAGCTCGGGAGGGCGAACAGCCTAACACCAATATGCTGCAAAGTATGGCAGAGCTTGACAGGAGCCGAAGTCCTCAGGACCCGTTCTCCGTGAAGCTGTCCATGTGTCGAATCACATACTCCTCTAAAATCTCCCGCATCTTCTGCAGAAGAGCCTGTCAGGAACCCTTAAACACTTGCAGGACCTAAACAATCACAGCAGCGCAGACTGCAGATGGGCTCTGTGCCTGATCCTTGGGCTCCTTCATGCTTGGCTGGAGGGCTTGCACACCAAGGAGTCGAGCTCGCTCTGGTGCCGGGCTGGACTCCGTCGCAATGCCTGCAAGCCGCTGAAGATGGCTTTTTATGCATTTTCCATATTTAGCGTGCTCTGCCCTCTGCCTGAGAAGCCATTCGTGGAGTCAATCCACCACTTTCCTCCCTCCCCTGTCGCATCCAACATGGAGTCTTTGCGGTTTTCCAAGCACCACCTGAATCACTGAAGTCTGAAGCTGCAGGCAAAACGAATCAAGCATTGCGCTTCACAAGCTCTCCCCTCAGGCCAAGAAACTCGAAAAGGAAGCAGACTTCATCGCAAAGCGGAGCATCGCAGGTCCCAAGCGCAAAGGCCTTCACTGTGCTCTGCTTATATCCTGCCACCTTCTTGAAGAGCTCTGCATCGTTCATTAGGCTTTCTGAGTACTTCTGCAGGCTGACGCTGGCCAATGGAGCAATGGTTGTTTTGAAACGATGCTGCTCTTCGTCTGTGAGTGTGGAGCCTCGGAAGAGGAACGGCTTGTCAGGCAAGATCAAGTTGCCCTGGAACTCCTGAATCAGGAGCTGCTTCTTAGACAGCATCAAAAAGCCAAGCTATCGACAAACTTAAAGGGACTTGAAGAGAACTTCAGCAACTTAAGGGAAGATTTGCGGGAACACTCATTTTTCCACTGAAGATTATCGAGAAGCCTAAGGGTGGGTTTGAAGTGCAGTAAGAGCGTACCCAGGCTAGAAGCTTGTCTTGACAGAACAGGTTCTAGCCAATACCATAATTGACATGATGTTCTTCGAGGCTCCTCTGCGAAGACCACCACAGCAGCGGCCAGGAGCCGAGATTTTTTCGAAAGCGCCGGCGCCAGCGTTTCCGCTGCGAAGCTGTCGGCGCTGGCCGTGACTGGATCAGCATCGGCTCGGCCGAAGAAAACGAACTTGGAGATGTCAACGAGAGGTTGGGACGCGGAGAGCTTGCAAAGGTACTCAAGGTCGCGGGGCTCACACCCTGAAGTGTTGAAGGAGCCGGTGTACATCACCACATGGGTACTTTGGCACAGGGCTGCAAAGCTGTCTGGGTATCTTGTCTCAATGGTGGAAAGCCTCAGGCGCAGCAGCCATGCTGCTAGATGCAGCTGCCAACGAGTTAAAGAAGCGAGACTTCACAGATTGCGAAACTATTGCCGAGGCACACGTCGGCAATCTGGCCTCTTCCAGGGGCAATGGTGTAGAAGTCCACTTTGTCGCCGCGAGCTGCGATTCTGTGGATCTCCTGCATTGATAGTACTGCACTTCTGCTCAACACGAGTCTTCCTCGTGCGTTTACTCGTGGCTCTGAAAAGGACCACGCGCACACTCTTGCTCCTCTGCTATCAGCGCTAGGGAGTCAGGCTTGTTATTCCAAACAGTGTTGGCTAGCGGATGGACCTAGTTTGCAGCTCACAGCTCAAGAGCTGAGTGAGGACACCTGTGCCAGTCTTCTGTGCAAGCCGGGCTGCCGTCTTATCGTAGTAGGTGACATTTTCTGGGCAAACAACCTGGAAGTCTCGACAGGGCTCCAGACCCAACATGAGCCGAGCCATCAGCAACCTGAGCCATCAAGAGACAGGGCTCACACTTCATCAAGGCTTTGGCCAACCCTGCTTGCGGCAGTACGAGTACTGTGAATAAGAAGAATAATCATGTAGGGCGTTGTAGTGCCACCACGGCAGCTTCTTCTCAAACACTCCGCAGCCATCTTTGTGAGCGAAGTCCGCTGCAAAGATGATCACAGGCCTTGTTGCAAGTATCATACTCAGATGGGCTGCCGATTCACAAAATCATAAAAATAACAGTAACAATACTATAGTAGTAGTAGTAGTAGTAGTAGTAGTAGTAGTACCACTGCGCAGCACTGGGCGCCTGGTGTTTTCAGCGTTTTCGGCAGCAGCAACCACAGCCACCGCACAGCCAGCAGCAACACAACTAATTACAGTCGTACGTTGGGGGGGGTTGGGGGGGGGTGGGGGGGGAATGGTAGCGTCTCTGCAGCAGCAAGCACAGCCGCGGCAGAGCCAGCAGCAACACAATCACGTAGAGTTGTATGTTGCGGGGGGTAGAGACGTGAAGCTGCTGATTGCGTAGCACACCGTCCTAAAGCCGTAAGGCTTCAAACCCAGAGGCGCAGAACCCTAAGGTCCAAAAACCTGGAAATCCTGCAAAGGCACAAGCCATCAAAGACTACAGCTCAAAAATTTGATTCCTCGCTTCGTTGTCTAGGGTTTAGGGTTCGGGATACTAAAAGGGGTGCAGCAATATGCAGCAATTGGATAAAGCAATGTTTTCGAATAATCGGCCCCTACGTGTTACTGAACATAAAGCCCCAGAAGTCGGAAGTGTGTTCCTGAGCAAGGTTCAGGGTTTGGGGTTGACAGTTTAGGGTTTGAAGTTTATTAGGGTTTAGGGTTTCGTGTTTAGGGTTTAGGGTTTACAGCTTGGGTGTTCGGGTTTGGTTTAGGGGTTAGGCTTCAAAATGCATGGTTGCCTCCTAAAATTAGTTGTCCCCAAATCGCTGTATTCCATTTTTCCTCAAACAAAGCAAAACACCATGACACGAAGGCTTCAACCCCATTTAAGGCCCAGGCGCCCTGGGGTGCGCTAGCCTAGTAGTAGTAGTAATAGTAGTAGTAGTAGTAGTAGTAATAATAGTAGTAGTAGGAGTAGTACGCGCGACGCGCACATTTGACGACCCGTCCGTTTGAGGGCGGTCAATAGGGAGGAGCTTGAAAGTGCTGGCAGCGCCAGCACTTCTGCACTGCAGTCGTCGTTTCGTGTGCTAAAGTTGCCAGGGCGGAATTTTCCACTTTTTCCGGCATTCA